AGAAACGTACTTTCCTGATACCAAAGCATGAACTGGCGGTAGAGATCCAGCTCTGGCCAGATGCCTGTGTCTCTTGCCCAAGGGAGGCAGAAGGTCACTTCCCAGGCAGAGCGAGGCCAGGGTCACCCTCGCATGGCTGTTTCCTTGTAGTGGACGTGTTGTTGATTCAGGTGCTGGGTTGGGGGCTGCTGGTCTTGTTAGATGGAACTCTGTGTCGAGGTGACTGTGGGAGTCGCTTGAGGCACGTGTTAGCACAGCAGGCAGTGGCCAGGTTATCCTGTTTGTTCTTTCACATTGTTCTCTTTCCCAAACAACAAGGGCCCCAGGTTGTGGCCTCCTCTGAGATGCCACACACCTGTCAATAGATGCACTTGGTCAATAACTTCTAAAACATGAGCACGAGCGAGAGAGGAAATGTGTTTTGAAAGAAACTGTTCCGTAAAGAGACTGTCTTGAAAATAGGAATTGGATGTGTCTCTCCCACGTGACTTTGTTTGTGAGGAATAATGTGTGTTGCCTTCAATGGCTCTTTCTTAAAAATATTTAGTTTCTTGTAAATCTTATAAACTGAGAATTTCAGGCTTTTCAGGCTTTTCACTTTGTTTTTACTTGTTTATTTTCTTTTTTAAAAAAATTTATATGTGACTTCTGCTTAGTTCATAAAAATAACTGGCGGGCCGGCCCGGTGGCGCACTGGATGGTGCGCCGCTTGGGAAGCACGGCGGCGCTCCCGCCCGAGGGTTCGGATCCCACATACAGACCGGTTCCCGCTCACTGGCTGAGCGAGGCACGGGAGCAACACCGAGGGTTGCAATCCCGTTGCCGGTCCCCGGTCCAGTACGGGGGCAACACTGAGGGTTGCGATCCGTTGCCGGACACGGAAAAAAAAAAAAAAAAAAAAGACAAAAAAAAAAGGTAAAAGAAGCAATGAAGAAATAGAAAAAGAATACTATTGGGAAAATAAACTAAGAAAGAGCTTTTGGATGTTGTCTTGGTCCATTTTCTGTTGCTATAACAGAATTGAGACTGGGTAATTTATAAAGGAAAGAGGTTTATTTAGTTCACAGTTCTGGAGGCTGGGAAATCCAAGACTGGGCAGCCTGCATTTGGTCAGGGCTTCCTGCTGCTCCAAAGTATGGTGGAAATTCAGAACGGTAAGTAAGCTCATGGGAAAAGAGAGTAGACGAAGCAGACTGATCCACTTTATAACAACCCAGTCCCAAGAGAACTGCATTAATCACTTTATTCAGGAGGAGCCCGCCCCCATGACCCAAACATCTCCCACTAGGCCCCATTTCACAACACTGCCACATTGAGGAATTAAGGTCCCAACACATGAACTTTTGGGGGACACATAGCAGACATTAAAAAGCACAAAAATAAAAATGAAAAATTCAACAGAAAAGTTGAAAGATAAAGTTTTGGAACTATCCCTGAGAGTAAAGAAAAAGTCAAAAAGATGCAAAACAGAAGATGCAAAGGTAATTAGAGAACCTGTCCAGGATATACAACATTCAAAAAATGAAAGATTCAGAAAGAAACAACAAAGAACACAGAAGGGAGGAAATCATTAAAGAAATAACTCAAGAAAATTTTCCAGAACTGAAAAATACGACCCTCTAAATTGAAAATGCTGACCAATATGTCCAACACAATATTTGGAAATAGAGCCACACCAAGGTACTATGGCATAAACCTCTAGAACACTGGGAATAAGAGATGATTCTATCACATTGCAGAGAGAATTAACATTTTTCATAAAAGAGATAAAGATTTATCTCTCAAATGCAACACTAGAAGCTACAATGCATTGCTGTAAAGTTTTGAAGGGGAAATTACTTTATATTCTATCATTTTATATCTAACCAAAGTATAACAAGGTCTCAAAAAAATGACTTCCCCTTACCTTCTCAGGAAGCTGCTGGGGTGTATAATCCTCCAAAATGACAAAATAAACAAAGAGAAAGCCATGGGATTTGGAATGAGACACAACACAAAAGAGGTTAAATGAATCCTCAGGATGACAGTGAAGGGATTTTTCAAGATGAAAGGTTTGCAGCAGCCTAGAGATCAGACTGGAACAAGTCAGAGGATTCAGAAAAGACTTGGAACATGGAATTGATGGTCTACATATAGATAATTTTAACTGAAAATACATTGTCTTAAAAATATACAAATAAAATCATGTCCTGAGACAATATATTCATGCTACTAAATTTATATTTAACGTAGAGTAAATCAAGACTTTTTCTTGCCCAAATTCTAAAAATTATCAGGGTAAATTCTTCATTGGTGAAGCAATGTAACTACATATGTTTCTTGGTGAGATTTAAGACATGATTCACAGAAATCATCCAAGTACCTGGATGCATGAGACACTAAGATATATATCCAGATTTTAATACACAGTAGTTTCTTCAACATATGTAGAAAGACTATTTTATTGCTTTGTAGAAGTTCAACATTGAGAAATCATTTGACAATTGGAAATACAGGACAGCACAAAATAGGAACTTAATCAATACTTGTTGATATTGCGCTTTCCTTTCCAATCTATAAATAAACAAGAAGAGGCAAATGAAAATCAAGTTAACACATATTTAAGTATACATGCACACACACACACACATATACTCACAAATATTTAAAATTTCTCCTATAGCTCTACATTGCTTTTCAATTTCATTTTTAAAATAATTTCACAATTTTAACTCGAATAAGTTCCAAAAATATGTTTTCTTAAACATATTTTTTAAATGACTGTTGAAAGATATTTAAAATAGTGTTAGCTTATTTTTTATTATGTAGAGTAACATAAATATTCGTTAATAGCTATTGCCATTCATAGATAGCATGGGAAAAAATATTTTCTAAAGATTAATGACAAACCTTTTGGATTAAAAAAAGGCTTATTACAAAAGAATTTACAAGTATTTATTTAATTAGCTTTGATAAACAAAATGAATAACGAGAATTGGCTCTTCTCAATTAAATAACTAATCTAGAAAATATACAAAGACAAGCATATCTTAAATGCCTCCAAATACATAATAGGTATTAGGGGTTGCAAATACAAATGTCCATGGATGGAGCAGTAGGGACTGAGGAAAAATAAAGAACATGCTCGCTCCAGATAATGATTACCATGTGATCTTAGACTCAGGCCACTAGATAATTTTTTTTTTCTCTAAAAGAAACTGGAAGTCTAGGTTTTTGTGTGAATTTTCCTTATTTTTAAATGTTTGCAGTAATTCTTTTTTTTTTTTTCAATTATTGCATTAGTTAAAACATGTATGTGTTCTAAATTCAGTTTCTTTTAGCTTGTGGGGCCTGTGGTATGTATCCTCTAAAAATCAAGACCTAGATTTTCCATTCTGTTATGTAGAGTAATATATCAAATATAAATACACTTGTTTAGAATCAATGAGTTTGAGTGTGACTTGGAATTTAAATGAATCAATGCATACTTATTGAATACCAATTGGGCCAGGCCTTGTACAAGGTACTGTGGTGGGATAAAGAGGTATAAATGGATATAAACAATTAATGTAAGCTTCCAATCTTTCTCCTTCTTTGTTTTCTACACATACATATATAACTTATCATCTAAACCAGGACACTGTGGGAAGTGAAAGGAGGAACTGTTAATAATCATGCTACGAGCAAGTGGGGCCATGCCAAGCAAACACGGCAGCACAGTTACTCTAACTAAAAGAACCTGATCTGTGTCACTTTCTTCCCCTCCTTCCAGTCTGCCTATCCCAGGCTCATACCCTGCAAGGAAAATCACGACTTGAAAGTCTTATTCCTCAGTTCTGTGATAAAGAATCAGAGGAAAGGGGGTAAAAAGGAAGACAAGAGAATTATCTTATGACAGATAATGAGAATTACAATTGTTTTCTGAGGTTTTTGTTTGATTGTTTTGTATTTAAGAGGTGCAGAACCAGCAGCAATGTGAGATGGCAGCGAATGGGGAGAGGGAAAAAAGGGAAATTGTAAGAAAAATTGGTGGAGACGGTGTTATCTTCAAGTCATTTAATCAAGAGAGGTAAAATACTCAAGTCATTTGAAAATACTTTTTGTTGCCTGGACTTCAGATTAACATCCTCTAAGATTGAACCACAGAGACTATGGTTTTATAAATATTGCAGAAGTATAATACATGGTCCCTGCAATCAAGAGAGCTAAATTTTATTTTGAGAGAAAAAGATTCACAAACAGCTAATACAGTATGATATATAATTGAATGCTAAATTGTGGGATACAAACTACAAATGTGTAGGACGTAAGAGAGAAAGATCAAAGAGAGCAATGAGTCAATCCCTCCCTCACTCTTGTTATTCTAATTTCTCTTCTACAGGAATCCAGGGGATAAGCACAAGCAGAGGAGAACTTGCAGTTTTCATAAAATATATGTCATTTCTCAATTGTACATAAAGGCAGTCCAACCCATCCCCACTGAAGTCTGATTAAGTTGTCAAATATTAAAATAAAACCAACGTCCAGGATTAATCAAAATACTATTTATCTTTCTTTGACTATCACACAACTATAACGATACTTTTTCATACCGTACACAAGTATTGACAATTTACTCTGTACTCCACAAATATGTATAATCAATTATGTTTCAATTTAAATAAATAAACAAATAAATAAAAACCCATGATACTTTATTTTTTTTAGTTGGAAAAGTGATGCCAATTGTCAGGAACTCCTGTGAATCAGCAATGACACAGAAGTCTGGCCTCCAGCAGCCTGGAAGGGCAAAGGCTTCAGACAAACCACGAATTTCCCACTGCAGCAAAAATTCCACCTGATCAAGCATACTAGAACAAGCAAATTGTGAGCATGTGGCGCACCTCCAATATACATAATACATCCACATTTTTCATACACACAGAATGATTTGAAACTTTTCCTCATTCCTTCCCATGAACTGTCCCCACCTCCTAGGATATAAGGCAAATATTCACATTCAGGGGTAGGAATGGAGAGTAAATACTGAGAGGGGAGAATAAAAAAAAAAAAGAGGTAAATATAAACAAACACTAAGTTCATTTA